GTTAAAAGAAAACAATCACTAAGTAGAAAAGCTCGATTGCATTTATGCTTGTACCACATGTAGCAATGAGTGCAACGCTTGTGTAACGATTAATGTTCTTAATCATTAATAAAATGGCCAAAATTCTCGAGCATTCTTGAAACTTTGAGTTTTTTTAATAAAAGTAAATTTGAATTCTTATGCTTCATTTATTTTTGTAGAACTTTGTGTTGCTAAATGAATTACATTTTTTCATTCATTTATTTATTATTTATTTATTTATTTATTTATTTATTTATTTATTTATTTATTTATTTATTTATTTATTTATTTATTTATTTATTTATTTATTTATTTATTTATTTATTTATTTATTTATTTATTTATTTATTTATTTATTTATTTATTTATTTATTTATTTATTTATTTATTTATTTATTTATTTATTTATTTATTTATTTATTTATTTCTTATCGTACTCCGTATTATATAGAGGAAATCACTCACGGTAGGACTAAAACATAGCATTATTCTTAAAGTATGATTAAATGTTTGGTTTTTCTTAAATGGGCATAAATATTACATATTCACCCCTAATTTAATTAATTAATTAATATAATTAATTGTCCCTAATTCTCTTTCACAACCAAAGCCATTTTGTTGGTGACACGTCAGTCCGATGACGACAGCGGGGAACTCCGGTGATGGATGCGGACAGGTCACAGGCATATTGGTAGCGACAATCTAGGTGAAAATTTTGACGACCAGCGGCGGCGGTCCGCATTTAAAAGTTTATGGACTTTTTGAAAGTCAATAAACTTATCCATGGATTTAAAAGTCCATAGAATTCATTCATAAAAAAGTCTATGGATTTAAAACTCTATTGACTTTTTTAAAAGTCCATGGATTAAAAAAAGTCCACAACAATCCATATTGAATACACCCCCCTAAGAACTCGTCAAGACTAATAAAAAACAACTACTTGGTTTAATTGTGGGTTTTCTCATTAATAAATTAAAGACTAAAAAGCAACTTCTTTCCATCGTTGCGGTAATAGAGACCCGGGGGTGATGTTCCTCCAAATTAAAGTAAAAAAAGTACCTATGCACATTTTGTATTTTGATCCAGTCCCACGTAAGTTAATAATTGCCCCCCTAAAGTTGGAAGACCGAAGGAGATTCATTTAATTTTAATGAAAATGAAAAAATTAGCTTTGACAACATAGAACAATTTCACATATAAACAAAACTTATTTAGTTTATCCAATTTCTAAATTGATAAAAGCTTTACATTTAATTTAAATATATATTGTGAGTTCTCCTTTACTCGAGATAAATATCAACCTTGTTGCTCTACATTAATGGACACAATTCATCACTTGCAAAGAGATTTTTAAGTAAATCTTTTGGCACCACAAATATGTTCTTTAATGTAACAAATGCGACTTCCTAAGCTCATTCTCTTCGCTCGTAGAGGATTGACTATATTCTCGAATAGATAACAATAGACAAAATAAAAAACCAAAGAACAAACATAATGGATAAAAACGAAAAGGAGCCAAACAACACAAAAACTAATCAAGATATATTTAGAAAGTGAGGCAAAATGTAAAATGTATAACGCAATAAAGGAAATATAACTGAGACAAGTTGAAATATAAGCCGTCTTATATTAAAATATAGCTTGAATAAAAGTTACTGGCCTTCAAATACCAATATGAGTTTTTTTTTGTTTTTTGAATGAAAATATGAATTTTATTTAGATTATTAAATCTTCAATTTTGAAATAGAGAAAGAAAGAAAAGTCCAGCGGTTGTTCACAACTTGACATCTAACTTATCGTGTTACAGAGTATTATTTAACTGCGTTGTCTTTTTTAACAATCAACAACAAGCCAAGCATTGCAACCAATATATTAATCTACAATCCACCATAACTCCGATCCATAAGTCTCGTACCATTGTATGTGTTATATTTTGAATGTTGTCATGGCAAAAAAAAGAGTGTATGGTTGTTTTCTTTCTTAGATTACAATGGTGCCCTTTTGAGGTGATCACCAAAACTACACTATCATTTCCTCTTTCTGTCAATGATCCTATGGAAATCCATTTCCTCAAGAACTTGAAAAGTTTAAAATTAAAGAGTGTCCTCGTAAAACCGGGCCCCTTAATTGGTTCTTGGAGCAGCAGTTCTTTAGGTATTTTCTAACTCATTCTTTGCGTTAATCTCTTTACTTAATCAACATTTTTCCTGCTTCGTTTTTTGCCTTTCCTTGTAAAGGCTTGTTTCCTCATATTGTAATTATTTGTGAACACATGGGGACCATTATCTTCTCAAAACCTTAGTAGAATAAGGTCTTGAGTTTTCACTCTAGTAATGATTTTGGAACCTAAATTCTTAGGGATTGCAATCATCATTGTTCTTTTGCTTGCCTCTCTTTAAAACCAAATCTTTAACTCTAAAATCTTTGATATTGCAATCATTTGTGTCATCACAACGTGAATGGGATGAACATGTGTAGATATGTGCATGATCATTGAAGTAATTCCTATTAGGCACACCTCAATTTTGACCAAAAGTGAACTCACTAATTCAGTGACCATTGATCGAGGTTTGAGACTTTGATTTATACATTTATGTTTTCTTGGATTAGATCTTCATTGCATGTAATTAGATGCATACATATAATCATGTATTCTACGTGTATGCTGTTTGCAATCACTTGCATAGCAGCAGTCATCTCGTTATACAGCCCGCAATAGCATTTTGAAGGTTGGCTGCTAGGTTCCGCTATCGACCAATTTATAACTTACATCAAGATCACTCCATGTGTGTGCATTCATTTTTAGGACAGAAGCAAAACATCTGAACTTTTCTCTACTGCTTATTTTTGAGAATTGGCTTAAACTCTATGTAGTTTAAGCCTTTGATTAAAAAACTAATCCATTCATTTGACCTCTCAATGATCGCAGATTGGCCCCGTTGGCTGTTTGTCATACGCAACATGATTATCCTGAATTCATCGCTGAGAATTATCTGCCTGAAAGAGCATTACCATGGACACTGGATAGTGTTTAAGACCATTAATTGCTCTGGTGGTTGGGACACTCTAAAGCATCTGAATTGCAGGGTTAATATGTTAGTGTAAGTTTGGTAGTACAGGTCGAGATATTCCACCTTCTTTCTTGGAAGTTGTCAAGAGGCATCTCACACCTTCATAGAAGGAGCTCTCAAATATATGAACATGAGAGAAGATATGGAGATAACTAGAAAGCTTGGATGCAACTTCCCCTTGTCTCCAAATAGCTCTATAAATAGAGTGTTCTATTGTTGTTCATATCATCAGTTTTAGAAAGTGAGAAAAAGAAGAGTGAAATACACTTACAGTAGAAGTGTATTGGTGATGATTGATTTTTTGTAATAGTTGAGTGTGAAAGTTTGCTCCTCCTATGATAGGCCGTACGCGCCGCAAAACCGCCGCCTGGAAACTGCCTGCGTCATCACGCAGTCCAGAGGAAGAAGACGAGACACATCAGCCACCACGTCATCACCAGGTCAACGCTACGTCGCACCACGCCATCGCCACGTCATGCTGAGTCATCGTCCACGTCATCCATGTATTCCACCCGCTTGCTGCCAGCGTTGGAAGGATTTACTTCATAATAAACGTTAAACGTGATATACTTAACATTCTAAATAAATATCAAATTGTCCACAGAACTCAACCAACAGATAATCGTCCTTCCCGATTGGAGACCATTGGCGGAGTACGACCCATATGTACTTCGACTAACCTACAACTATGATAATACATACAACCAACTGCTTCTTCGTTGCTGAAGTAATATAGAAACAATTGGACTCATGAAAAGGTAAATCCAATTGAAATTTTACCGACACATTTTATAATGATATCTGCTCTTTGTATTATATCCGCCACTGGATTAAAAAAGGTACTATGTATCTACTAATATTAATAGTTTAATGATTTCTCAAAATGTTGTTCAATAAAGCCGTTTATTCTTACAAAAAGATATTGAATAAAGAAATGTATAATTATAAATTCTCATAATTATGTAGACGATATGTTATAAAAATGTGTCGATAAAATTTCAAGTGGAGTTACTTTTTCATGAGTCAAATTGTTTCTATAGAACTTCAGCAAGGAAGAAACATTGGGTTCGTACTTATTATCATAGTTGTCGGTTAGTCGAAGAACATATGGGCCGTACTCCGCCAATGGTCTCCAATCGGGACGGATGATTATGTGTGGTTGAGTTTAGTTGACAATTTGATATTTATTTAGAATGTTAAGTATATCACGTTCAGGGGCGGAACCAGCCCAGTGCCCGGAGGTGCCCGTGCACCTGCGGTTTTTTTTTAGGCTAAAGGGTCAAATAGGTACATGAACTAACTTAAAGTGTTCAATTAGCCCCTTATATAGGAGGTTCTGCCCGGCCGTCGCCAATTGGGGCAGTTCCCGGTGGAATTTTTTGATTAAATTTTTTGAGCATCTTCTTCATTAAGTCTAGTTTACCCATACCAAATTTCAGCTAAAAATTCAATCGGGAAGGCAATCAAATGATTTTTTGAAGATAACTGCGCAGTTAAACAACACAATACATTTCGGAAAATCATTTGACTACCTTCCCGGTTTCATTTTTAGTTGAAATTTGGTATGGATAAACTAGACTTAATGAAGAAGATGCTCAAAATATTTCATCAAAAAATTCAACCGGGAACCTTCCCAATTGGCGATGGCCGGGCTGAACCTCCTATATAAGGGGCTAATTGAGCATTTTATGTTAGTTTATGTACCTATTTGACTCTTTAGCCTTTTTTTTATATACATATATATACATATATCAATATTTCATTAGTTGAGCACCTCCAGCCCAATCCCCAAAGCCCTTTACCTTAACCTTTCTCTTGTGCCAGCCCAAGCCTAAAAACCTTACTGGAGCAGCCCGCAGCCCAAGTCCCCAAAAGCCTAAAGAGTAAAGAGTAAAGGCCAAGTCCCAACTCCCAACTCAAGCCCCTGCGTTTAGGCCTTTAGCTACTTCTGCGACTCCCACTCTCCCAGCAAGCACTTCAGTGAATTTCCCCTCCAGCGACAGTCAACGAAGGTCGCCGCTGCCCGCCGTGTCTATAGTCCTGGACGGCTCAGTGGCTCACGGCTGGATTTGCAACTTCTTGGTAAGCCTTTAATGCTTTAACCTAATAGTTTTTCAAATAATTTCATTTAAATTTTATTATTTGTTGAATTGAATTTGTTTAATTCAAATAGAATGTGAATTGTTGAATACTATTATTTGTTGAATTCAAATACAGTGTTGAAGTATTTGACAATTATGTTGTGATAATCTCATTAAAATGTTGATTATATTGTAAATTTATATATTAAAATTGTGTATTTATTGATTTAGTTAATGTTGTTAATTTGTTATAATGTAATTTAAATAATTATACTCATATTATTTTAATTATAAATTGGTCTAGGTTGTTTGACAAACAATCACTATGTTACGATATTATACACCGGAACCTATACCGTCGAGCAATGGTGGTTCTTCATCGAATAATTTAGTTTCTCCATCTGATAATGTCATTCCTAACAATGACACTAATGTTAAAAAGGCTCGAATAGAAGTTGAATTGTCCGATGATGACATTGTTGGTGATCCTGGATTGCGTAAACCGATTGATACTTTTAATGTTAATATTAGAGACGAGTTGAGGAAACGTTATTTGACAAAAGGCCCTTGCCAACCACGTGAGTTTAAATTTCCACAAACTGATTTTAGTGGAAAAAACAGATCATTTCAAAAGCAGTGTTTTGATGAGTTTAATTGGTTGGAGTATAGTGTTGATAAGGATGCAGCATTTTGCCATTTGTGTTATTTGTTTGCTAGACGGTCGATGGTAGTCCGAAAACTTATTACCACTATTTTCATGTTGACATTTTTCTCAAGGTACTTTTAAGACTTTTATTTCTTATTTTATTGTATTCAATTTTATTTTTTTGTTACTGTAATTATTTATGTTTTTTTAATATAATGTTAGGTTATTGATCGTCTTATTCAAGAGATGAGTAATCGCTTTACCGAGTCAAGTTCAGAGCTATTAATGTGCATAGCATCATTAAGTCCGAAAGACTCATTCTCCAATTTTGATGTGAAGCGACTTCTTCGTCTTGCTAAGTTATATCCAGATGACTTTAGTTCAAGAAATAGATTTGAACTAAATGAACAGCTTAGAGTGTTTATTACGTTTGTGAAATCATCTCCACAATTCTCAGGCCTACAATGTATTGGAGATTTGGCAAAAACATTGGTTAAAACAGAGTGACACACAACTTATAAGTTAGTGTACCGACTCATTCAATTGGCATTGGTTTTACCTGTTACAACAGCCACAGTTGAAAGATCTTTCTCGACGATGAAGTTTATCAAGAATGATTTGCGCAACAGGATGGGAGAAGAATACTTGACAGATTGTCTGGTGTGTTACATTGAGAAAGATGTATTTGTTAAAATTGAGAATGAAGTCATTATGAAGCGATTTCAAAGTATGGCACCTCGAAGACAAAGATTGCCGCCTCTCAATGATTCTCCTTCATTTGACACGTCAAGTTCTAATCAAAATTAAGGTACTCTTTAAGTAGTTGTTTTATTTAAATTTTATAGTTTTGTTTATTGCTATATACGTGATGCAAATGATTTTTTTTAGAGTAGTATATGATTTCTTTGTTATTGTGCCCCTGCGGGTCACGAGTCCTGATTCCGCCACTGATCACGTTTAATATTTATCATGAAGTAAATTCTATCAACGCTTTCCCTAAAAAATGGATGTTTTAGAAATGGTTAGAATGAATCCAACTCATTATTGCAACATTATTAGAATTAATAAGTAATATTGTTGAAAAGAATAACTAGATGCACAATACTAATGAACAGAATATTGAGTGATTGTGTTTATGAATCTAGACTTGATCTAAGGCCGTTTGGTTCTGATAAAAGTTGAGATGAACCGATTAATTTTTTTTAAATTCTGTTCTAATTAAAAAATAGAACGGCTTTAAAACCGAACAAGGTCAAAACGGTTCAGTTCTTACATTGTTTCGATTTCTAAAATATTGTGTAATCCTACTAAAATGAACAGATGTTGGGTAGAAATGAACAAAATAGCTAAAGTTCATTATTACTTTTGAAGTTCAAGATTATAGTCATAACTATCTTGTTCTAAAAAGGATAAAAGTAAACATCTAATTGCATTAGAACGACCTGAAATAAAAAAATGTTAATAGTTCAATGATTTCTCAATAAATCTCTAATGTGCATTAGAATGGCTTGGGACTAAAAAAGAATTTCATATTTACTATGGAGTAATGTTTAATTGTTCAATGATTTTTCAAGATTTTGTTCAAAGGGGAAAATAAGTGGAATAAGCTAAGAAGAGGAAGATGGACCAGTAAATTGACATTTTAATCCTTCCATTATGAATTTGACACAAAAAGTGGGGAACTGAAAGTGTTATTATTATCAAAGTTGAAGGTACTAAATGTGGAAATTTTCAAGACGTGTACAAAAGTGTTTGTCGCACTATATTTAAAAGAATAAGTGAAAAAACTCAAAGTGGAATACCATAGAAAAAAAGTGGAAAAAACTGTTGGTGGACTTAAAGTTTTCTTTTCTTATAGAATTTTCTGAAAACATCAAATTATGATACCATAGTTTTCGAAGAAAAAATTAGAGACTTAAAGAGACATACAACAAGTGGTTTCATGATATGGGACAGGCCAAAGAAGCTATTCTGGGCGAAATCAAATGAGTTTTTCAATTCAATTCCTTTTCAAGTAGACAGTTCTATGAGAATTGTGATTCTCTATTGATCTATTTACAATGATACGTCATACGTGCTTACTCCATCGTTACCCCACCTTGGCCTCTTTACATTGCACGATGAATGTGGCACTCACCCCACAACAGTCCGCCATTATCTGCCCGGGTGCCACCTCATACTTCTTCAAGAGCTCAATGTGGAAGGGGTGAAGGGGAATTAGAGGACGGCTACAATTGAATAAAAATGCACCACCACCATTCCCAAACGGTGGCACAGAGGATAACGCAAGGTTAAGCCCTGCCTTCGCAACTGAACGACAGAGAGGTTCAACTTGTGATGCAGGGTCCCATCCGGGGGACCGGCATCTGAAATGGTAACTTCATTTTCGGATATCGCCTCGTCATCGGAGCCATTATCGGCCCCAGAACCAACTCTATCGATTGTATCCTGAGGGCAGCACCCGCGGCATTGCCGCGAACCGTGTCCTCGGTTTGCTACTATTGATTCCTCGAACTTGGTGTGCTTGGAGAGGAATGCGGAAGTTCAGAAACCTGGAGCAAGTAACCCAAGGCATGTATTTATAGGCGAAGGCACTGTTTCAATAGCGAATCCAAGACGACACATTGTGAGGAACGCCCCGGAGGACACATGTCACATGGAGAAGAAAGGTCTAGTAATCATGACCTTAGTTAGCTTATGAAAGCTAATCGGTAACCGTAAGCGGTAAAAACCATCAACTCTGTGCACTAGGAACTAGAGAAATAGCTCTCAGACAAATACAGTTCATGGAGGTAGATAACGACACTGAAGATTGGACATTATTGACCAAGGTAAATCAGTATGATGAACCTTTTTAGGATGGAGGCAGTACATACTATTAAGCTTGGATTTATTAATTCCAAAGCTGATACCTCCCTATTTGTTTATCATCATGCCGATCATATTATCTATATCCTAGTAGATGTCGATGACATAGTTATTACAGGCAGCTCCACGCCCTTTGTTGAGGACTTAATAACTAATCTTGGCCGCCGATTTTCTCTTAAAAATTTGGGTGCTCTCTCAATTTTCCTTGGCATAGAAGTTATCTCTCATCCCCATGGTATTCTTCTTTCTCAACAACGGTACATTTTGGATCTTCTATCTCGGACAAAGATGACATCATGCAATGGTGAGACTACTCCTCTTGCTTCTACCTCCAAGCTTAGCATTCATTCGGGCAAGCCACTTGCAGACCCAGAAGAATATAGATCCGTGGTTTGCAGTCAACAATATTTAGCTCTTACTCGGCCCGACTTATCTTATGTTGTCAACAAACTATCTCAATTTCTTCATCGGCCTACGACTGATCATTGGGAAGCTGTCTAACGCGTGTTACGTTATCTCTATCATACGACCGATCATGGTCTTCTCCTACGTCGCTCTTCTGCACCATCATTGCATGACTATTTTGATGCTGACTGGACTGGCAATCCTGATGACTATACTTCTACTGGGGCCTTTGTTATTTTTCTTGGTCTAAATGCTATCTCATGGAGTTCACGCAAGCAACGCACGGTGGCTCTGTCGTCTACTGAGGCCGAGTATAAGGAGGATATAAGGAGTAGTATTTCAAATAGAGAAAAATGTGGCACAAATTTTGAAAATGTGGCACAAATATTACCAAATATGGTCTGAGACAAACTTAATGGAACGAACGAAAAAGATAAAACGAGACAAAGTTGGAGGATGGAAGGAGTAGTATTTCAAATAGAGAAAATAGTTTGGCTATTTACGAATGAAAATTACTCCGTACTTTACATTATTTGAACATTTCAAATTAGTAAATTAGTTTTCTATCTGAGCTCATATCTTAGAACCCGTTCGATGATTCTATTTTTTTTATTTATTATGCTTATCTGTCAACTTTTCAACTAAACATGTAATTTTTAATTCCGCACGCTGAATGATATAATAATAAGAAAAATTAATGTTAGAAATATAAGAGATATTGGAGCTCACCGGAGCCGGAAAGGCAGAGACGTATTGCTATACATAGTGCGAGAGAGTCCGTTTGCAAATCAAATGCCGAGAGAGCTGCTTCTGGTGAAAGGTTAATTGGTGGCTTAAGATTGTTGTTTCCATCAACAGATTTGCTTTTGACAACAAAAACAAATCTTAAAAGCTTATAATCCTCAATGAGGGTTAGGGTATTTTAGGGTTAAAAATTGTGTTGGTGTAATCATTAGCTTTACTAGATGGTACATTGTGTTTTACCTTTGGTACTCTTTGAAAGTTTTAAATTTTCCGTTTCACTCTTGTCTAGCTCCCGTTTTACCCTAGGTCATTGTTATCTCGCACACCCGTTTAGCTCCCGTCTATGTGATGAACCAGGCTTTCGCACACCTGGGCCTCCCCTCCTTTCAGTCCCGAACGCCCCTAAGCTTGGATTCGCGCACAGCGGGTATCAACGATTCAGCGGCGCCCTGACCAAACCAGGCTGACTTCAATCGTTTCCCCCTTCTTGCCCCAACTGTCCAGTTTCTTTTCGCGCCAACATTTGGTTTAGAAGTCCTTACTGATGAAACATGAATTTACAGTTTCAGGCAAAGAGAGGTTAGACTTATATTGATAATTCTCAAATGCATTAGCAGACTAGCAGTTACTGTTATTGCCTCAGTTGCTTGGATAGGGTATGATGAGCTACGTACTTTGTCAGGCAATTTTGGCATTCTGCTGAACTTTTACAGGTTAATATTTGTAAACTTTATTGTTGTCATGCCTCTTTTCATGTCCAAGGCAAATAAAAGAATAGGAAGATGTTCTCTTATTTTAATGTGTAATGTGTTAAAATGTTTTCATGAGAAGATTTAATTCAACAACAACATCCAAGCCTTAGTCTCAAAAGACATGAAAAGATTCAATTGGCAACAAGTTATTTCCAGTCTTCTGAGCAACAAACAGAGCCTGAATTGCATATGAATGCTTAATGATGTGCTCTTGCTTGTGTATTTTGAGAAATATCTGTTGCATTTGTTAATTTCATTTCAATGGGCATAAAACCGAGTGATCTTATGCATTTGTGCTTTTCATACTTCAGAAGGAAGTTTTACTGCATTGGAACTTATGTGCCGCTTATCTCTGGCACCAGTTTGACAATTCCATCAACAATGTTGGAACTTTGTTTGCTATTCAAGTCCTTTTATTTTTAAGTTTCCTATCCATGTCAGCTCCAATACTTGATCTACCATCTCCCTTTTTTTCCTTGGTACATCAACTTTACACCTAAAATTTGGGAATGGATTAAAAATTGAGATTGAGTGTGCAAAGTATGAACATTAAAAAGTAATCTCGAGGAGTACTGGTCATTGAGTTTTATTCGGTGAAGGTTTGTGGGAGAGATGGCAGATCTTCAAAGCGACAGATCACTTTGACGAGAGGTGGCAGAGTGTCTGGATCATCAATGTATTGTGGGACGTTCTTGCATTTGTCCTATTGTGTGTCATACTGCTTCTTTTGGACACCTTCTAAGAGCTGCCAAAGGTAAAATTTTCTACGACTGGCGACTCACTTTATTGTTAACTGGTTATGCTTGGAACATGGGAGATGTTTAGGGAAAGGGATGGAACATTAAGTTAAATAATTTTAAATAACAAGGGGAAACAAAAAAAAAGCAATTAACTTTATTTTTTATTTTTGAGATAAGGGTCAGATAGGGTCTCGAACTTGAAAAAAAATGTCAAATAAGGCCATATTTAGGATGTTCTGTCCGGCTGACGCCATTTGGGGTGGTTCCCGGTATAATTTTTTGATGAATTTTTTTGAGAATCTTATTCATTAAGTCTAGTTTACTCATATCAAATTTGAACTAAAAATTTAATCGGGAAGGCATTCAAATGAATTCTTGAAGATAATTGTACCGTTAAAAGCGCAGTTATCTTCATGAATTCATTTGAATGCCTTCCCGATTGAATTGTTAGTTCAAATTTGATATGAGTAAACTAGACTTAATGAATAAGATTCTCAAAAAAATTCATCAAAAAATTCATCCGGGAACCACCCCAAATGGCGTCGTCCGGACAGAGCATCCTAAATATGGCCTTATTTGACATTTTTTTTCAAGTTCGAGGCCCTATCTGACCCTTATCCCTTTATTTTTTGTTTTTCACATATATTTGTATATCTTAATCTCTATATAATAGAAAAATAGAAATCAGTAAACTGAACTATCAAGATTGAAATAATTAATACACGTCCCTAGCTGTAGATATTGCTCATAATTTTCTTACTCTCTTTTGGTTCAATGATCTATACACTTTGCACGATTAGACTGATTTCTGCTTATTTGGACCCAACAAATCCCACTTCGAAGGAAAGAATGACAACCAGTAGAATATAAGAACTGGCTTTGCTCTCATGGAGACTGCGATTCCTTCCCTTCAATGTTCTTTTATTCAAACTCTGTGCATGTGATAGTTATACTAACTATATGCACTAAATTCCAATAAAAAGATGGGAAATTTTCAGCTTTATGCCAACATGCACTTTTAGACCTTACTCTGTTTATTAATTCTGTTTAAATAAAGGTCGAGCTTTATACCAGATTTCACTACTTTAGCTAATCTGAAATAAGTTTACACCAATGAATTAGCATAACTGGAACATTTCCTATTATTGGGATATTTTGATAATATCACTTTTATTGAATTTGCCTTTATTGGAGATTAATTTAAATTGCTTTGTAAGTTTTAAATGTTCTATTAAGGTTGAAGACATTGTTGGAAGTTTCGAGCTCAATGTGTTGAACACTTGAACCTGTGAGGCAACATCGTTCTCTGCCTGAAGTTGTACGTATTTATACTTGTGTATATTGGTATAGTTGTGTCTTCTGACTCTATTTCCTTATGAGATAAGTCAATAATCAATATCTTTATTCATTGATTATCATTGTATGCTGTGTTGAAACATTTATTTACAGTTCACTAAATGAAAGTTAATACAATGGTCGTAGAAATTCACTTCTATACCAGAAAATATCAAAGAGCAAATCAATATTGTAGCCACAAATGTAAAGTTTTTGAATAATAGTAATAAAATGGGATTAGCTTCCCCGGAAAACGAATGAAACTTTTTGTACAAGATAATCTTTACATATCGTTTCCCACATATTTGTCTTCACTCAACCTTACAAAAAAGTTACAACAAGCCTAATCAACTACTAAGTATGAAACAAACTAACAGAGCTTGCACAATGAAGTGGTAAGAGCTTAAAGTCGAGTTTGAGTTCTGGTTGTGTTTGATGATTTGACTTCTCCACTTTCTTTAAAACAAAAAAAACTGAAAGATTGAATTATATATAGTGTTGTTCAATTAATTTGTGATGTCCTCGTGCAAATTGCAAATGGTTGCACTTATTGTCATGTACGGTGCACTATTGGCTTCAAACAATGCATTTTTACAAATGATGGAAATTTTACTTAATTGATGCATTGTTGATATATTTAGGTCCATTTGATGATGAAATGGATGCACCAAATGTATTCTTACTTTTCATGGCAGTGTAAGAATATTATTGAATGTTTTTAACAACCTAACGTTATACTCCCCCGTCCCGAAAAGGTTTGCCAAATTTCCTTTTTTTGGATGTCCCAAAAAGATTGGCCATTTCCATTTAAATTAAGGAATATGTGGCTAAAGTTAATTTTCTCTCCTCTGCACAAATTTCAACCACACAGTTTTTACTTTATTAAGGGGTTTTGACATGAATATTACCAAATATAGATAATGGACAAAAAAGAGACCTTTTTTTGTTAATTTCCTAAAATGTGACTAATAAACATCTCCTTTCCTAAGTTACCCTCCAAGTGTTAACACCGCAGCCACATACGTTCACTCCTATCCTCCGTAATATTCCACCGCATTATACGGAGTAGTATAAAACTGTATAAGAAGTGTACGGCGTCAGGATGGCTTCGTTCATTAATGCTTCTTTTTTATTTTAAAATTATTTCTTAAACTTTCAACTTTTATTTTAAAATTATTTCTCAAGATAACAATTACGTAATTGGATATGAAAATATGAGTGCCTTACATATTTAGGGAGTGTTTGCAACTGCTTCTGCTTAAAAAAAAGCACTTTTGGAGATGTAAGGAAAAAGTGATTAGTAGGAAAAGTTGATAGTGTTTGAGAAAAAAGTGATTTTGAAAAGTAAAAGTTTGTAATGTTTGATAAAATAAGTGCTTTTTGTGTAATAGAAAGGGGAAAAACACTTTTCACACGCAAGCCGAGAAAAAGTAAAAATTGGTAGTGTTTGGTAAATAAGTGCTTTTTTAAGCCAAAAGCTGAGAAGTGCTTTTTTTTAAGTGATTGCAAACACTCCCTTAACTTATTACGTTATAATTTGTGTGAAAACGGTCCCAATTATTACCGCTCCAGTGACCATTGTTCCCGTTACTAATTGCTCCGATGATCACCGTCCCAGTTCTCATTGCCCCAATTCATACATCCCCAGTTACTACCGTTACAGTGACTAATAATAATATCATAGTGACAAAAAATATACCGGACCACCGTCCCGGTCATAGTGACCACCACCCCAATGCCACAATGACCAATTTCAAGCGACAGTTACACCATCTTTTTCCGTACAGTGACCATCGTCCGCCTGTTCAGTGATTATCAATTATAGTTACCTGACCCATCAGTTACAATTACCGACCCGCCAGTTACAGTTACCTCATCCATCAATTAAACCTCCAGTTACAGTTACCTGATTCATCCAGTTACAGTTACCCGATTCGGTCCCAGTGACTAATTGTACAGTGACTTCCGCCCAGTGACAAATGACATAATTATTGTCGTCCAGTGACAAACGTTCATCCGTTCAATGACCAACACTCATCCGTCCAGTCACAAACGCATAATTACAATTACTCAACCCACCCGATTACATTTACTCAAACCGTCTAATTACAATAACATGACCCAATCAATTACAATAACACAACCCAATCAATTACAATTATCCGAACCAATCCATCACATTTACCCAATCTAATCCATTACATTTACATGATTCAACAGTGACCATGGCTCTTGCAGACACAGGATGACACCGGCCACTATCTCCGACCACCATGCCGTTGCCCACCGCTAAAGATGTTCTGCCCGCCGCCGCCACACATGCTCTGACTGCCGACCAAACGCTGCCCAACAAGACAACCACAACCCCCTCCCTTGCTCCCCAGTCACGTCCCTGTCCTGCCCCAACCCCCTCCCCTGCTCCACCTCCGAGCCAAAATTCACCCCTTCCCAGCTCTAGGCTTGGATCAGCCCAACACAGTCCCATCCCACCACTACCCCAACCCACCACCACCGAACCTCAGCCAAAAACCCTAACCGCCGAACTAGATCTGGTGTCAAAAGAAATGAATAAGGAATAGCTAAGAAACTTCAATGTAATGGCGAATATTCTTGTTGATTGGCAACTCTCCATGAGATTGACGGCGATTTTGCATATGCGTAGGCGATAATCGATTCAGAAGATAATTGTGGGCGGCGGATATGAATACCCGACTGGCTGGTGGCGGCGACGGTCGATTCATATTACACTGGCGGGCGACGCGCGGTGTATACACGACAGGGAGGTGGCGGCGAGGTCGATGCGCCGGAGGAGCTAGACGGAGATGGTGCGGACTTCTCCTTGTGCAGAGCACTGGAGACAGAAGTGCAAGCCAAGGCAGACGTGTCCAAGAGCAGAGGTTATTCGTTGGCTATTAAGTTCAGGGGCATTTAAGTCCGTTTGATGCATATTTAGTCTGATTTTGGTCCAAACGAAATTAGGTTCTATTTATGTCTTATCAAAAGCTGGAGACTATATTTTGGTCATTCTTTCCTTTATTAATCCACGTGAAAGTCAATTTTGGCCAACCTTTTTGGGACGGAGGAAGTAATTGTTAATTCTACTACTGAGTATATGTTACTCTAATATGCCATGAGTGGCTACAACAAGGAGGTTGTCGTCATTTTTTATGAGTTGATTTATTTTCACTTGGCCATGTTGCACATTCGTTGAATTGTGCACCATTTGCTATTCTCTCAGATGAAAAGACTATTTTCCCAATTGATTAATACTAATTTCTCACATGCAAAATACTAAAAACAATCATATCAAAATAAAACGTTCAAGTTTTGAATTAAATCTTCTCATGAAAACATTTTAACACATTACACATTAAAATAAGAGAACATCTTCCTGTTCTTTTCTTTGCCTTGGACATGAAAAGAGGCATGACGACAATAAATTTTACAAATATTAACCCGTAAAAGTTCAGCAGAATGCCAAAATTGCCTTGACAAAGTACGTACCTCGTCATACCTTATCCAAGCAACTGAAGCAATAACAGTAACTGCTAGTCTGCTAATGCATTTGAGAATTATCAATATAAGTCTAACCTCTCTTTGCCTGAAACTGTAAATTCATGTTTCATCGGTAAGGACTTCTAAACCAAATGTTGGCGCGAAAAGAAACTGGACAGTTGGGGCAAGAAGGGGGAAACGATTGAAGTCAGCCTGGTTTGGTCAGGGCGCCGCTTAATCGTTGATACCCACAGTGCGCGAATCCAAGCTTAGGGGCGTTCGGGACTGAAAGGAGGGGAGGCCCAGGTGTGCGAAAGCCTGGTTCATCAGATAGACGGGAGCTAAATGGGTGTGCGAGATGACAATGACCTAGGGTAAAACGGGAGTTAGACAGGAGTGAAACAGAAAATTTAAAACTTTCAAAGAGTACCAAAGGTAAAACACAATGTACCATCTAGTAAAGCTAATGATTACACCAACACAATTTTTAACCCTAAAATAACCCTAACCCTCATTGAGGATTATCAGCTTTTAAGATGAAACAACAAAAAGACGCCTACGTACCTTGGCAATGTTGAACCCCCGCATGTAAGGGTGCTTCAATATTCATGTCCTAACCAAGAAATGATGATAAAAGAAATTTTTAAAAATGAAGCATTGGAATGTGTAGATTATTATGTGAGATTTGGGGGATTTTGTTTTTCACCTTATCAGACTTGTAGTCAATTTTTTAAACAAAAATGTCACTTTAGATTTCGCGCGCTTAATTAATAATAACAAAAAGTAAGGTTAGAATTACTTTCCTAGTTGTATTATCTAGTCACTGTAAACTGTCTTTTAGTCATTTTTCATATAATCATTCTTTATTTTATTCATAAAATATACTCCGTATTTTATATTTTTTTTCATAAATCAACGGGATCAACCAATACTACGATTTCATACAGCATTTCATAAATTTCATCAAAATAAACTGATTCAACCAATTTCAATGTCCTCTTTGCACGGCATTCAAGAAGTAACATTGTTTTATAAAACACATCAGATATAACTATGTTATCTGACTTATCTCTCTCATGTGATCTCAAGGAACTCCAAAGAACTGACAACATTCTGAAAACAATCGAGAAGCAACTTGACAGAAGAAAGTGTCTCAGAAACTTTAAGCATGCGATGAACCTACGCAAACACTACTTCAAAGCTCAGAAGTGAAGATATCCAGCACGGCACTTGATCACAAAGGAGGAGACTGTTAGAACTTTTATTGTGAATCAAGTTTGTCTGTAATATCTTGTTTAAATAAATTAGAATAGATATAGCTTTTATGGTATTAGTTTTACTATGTAATAAATAGGAGTAAAAGAAATAGCACTACTAGGATAACAGTTTTTTGTGGCGCTTAAATAGCGACACATTTTTAAAAAGTGCTAACATTGTATATATTTTCTTACATTAGACACTATTAGGCATTATTCCTACGTAACACATTGAAGGAAGCATTTCAACTTCAAGTAAAAGTGCGGCTGACGGCCTAAATCAGCACTATTCTCATTATTTAAAAAAAAAAACTGACTTTGTATCTATCACGTCATATTGAAGCGGCAACTTCATTCTTCCTAAAAAAAAACGAAATCCCTATTCATCCCTAAAGGAGATCTTCATTTCAGCATCAGATCGATCTAGCGTAACATCTCTCATCGCGGACGTAGTCTCAGCATCGATCGACCATGCTGTTGAAGCTTCTCAACTCTCATTAAAGAGTTCTCCAGGTTCTCGCAAATCAACTATCCGTAAAGAGTTCTCCTGGGAGCAAGTAGGTGAGTTGATTCTCCTCTTTAATTTAGATAAATAATCTGTAATTTCTGATGAAATTGGTGTATCCTCACAGTTTAATGATTGATTACTTGAAGTTCGTAACAATTCCACTACTGTTAGTTTAGTGATTGCGGAAAATAGGTCCATGGCGGCCTAGGATAAATTTTCAATTATTCAGCTCTTAGATTGAAGATAGTATGGTTGCTTCCCTTTTCTGAAACCTCGCTCTGTTTTTTCCAGTGTTCAGATATAATTTGTTTCTCAGTATTCTTTGTTGAAGCAGATTTCAATTGCTTAATTTGCCATGTAAGATGATAGTAGATAGATGTGTGAGAATTCTTATACAGATAAACACACTACACACACTTGTTTGTATTACTTGTATATGTAAATATATAGTTAATAGTTAATGTTCAGAATATATGTGAAAACCACTCTTGTTGGAGTCTGGGATGGGTGGTTATATTATACATTTGAACAACGAGACTGAGGGCCGGAAAATCCTGCCCCAAAAAGGTTATGGGAGAGTTGTGGAGAAGTAAGTTGAAGTTTTGAGCCTTTATTAAAATATTCACAATTTTAGAAAGAAATCAGTTTCAATTTTGAGAGCTTTTTTAGTATTAGGATTTCCCTTTACTATGGGTGTGTAAATCTTTATGAACTTGCGACTTTGGATAGGTAATGAGTTGTAAGTTCAGTTTTAATCTCAGATATACAAACAAAAAAATTATAAAGATCAGATGATTGTGATAAAAAAAAAAAGCAATAAAATGCAAATGCACCAGAATTAGCTCTTACAATCCAAGCTATACGATTCTTCAGTTTTCCAGTTTCCTAGTCTCACTATGATGAATACCTTTACTTTGTTTATCACTTATGTATTCATTAGCTGCTCTAATTAAGCAGTTCTGTATATTTTTGTGTATTCATTTGTGTGATGCTTTTTTTAACATCATATGTTAGTATCTCATTTGTTTTAAGGGATATGGCTAAGCGAAAGAAGAAATTGCGAATTGAATGACTACTAGTGAGGGAGATATTGCAAGGGAGAAGGAACATTTTCAAGCTGATTCCTGTAGCTTAAATATGAGAACTTTTAATGGATCTTGGAATGAAAATTCAGAAGGAAGAGTCTATGAGTACACTATACAAGGTACTTTAAAAATTGTCTGCTCAAACACCAGTTCCCTTGCCTCTTCGTAAGCTCTATATATAGTTTTGTTTAAAGTATGCATATTTCATGTTTGATGTTGTTTTCTGTTACAGTTTGGTTCAAAACATGCTAAAAAATAATTGTAGAATTCAAACAAAATAATGTTTAGTTTAGTATGATCAAGTTCAGATTTCAAAACATGGTAAATAAACAAATTATCTAGATAAGATATTATCACCCCTAGACTTATGATAAATTCAATTCATTTCATTATTATACTTGAAATAATTAAGTAACATTTAAGATAAATCGATTTTGTTACATGGTATGGAACTAGAGATGACAACCTAGGCATTTACATGTCTTGAGAGTGAAGTAGCATAAACCGAAGGCCTTTTGGACATTATAATTAATTGCATAGCTGAACATTATTTGACTCATAATGGTAGTGAGAAATCTTAAATTTTCAAAAATGATAACAGACTCTCATGGTAATCGAAGGCGTGGAAAAACTGTTCTAGCTGAAGTGTGGAATCTGTCTGATGGGAATCACATTGTTGTTGACATCAATAAAGAGAACCAACCCATTGGAGATGAAGGGGGGTTATTAGGCTCTTTTTGTGGGACAATTGCGAGAAATGGAAAAGTTTGCTCCTTAAGTTATACAAGATGGGATCATTTCAAAAAAGGCAGCAACCGGAACAACCAAACGATCATATTAAAAGAAGTTCAGGTAACCTTTTAAGTTCTTAATATTTTTAGTAAATCTTTTGAAAGCTTACACTATGACATTTTAAATTACATGTGCTGGTTGCTGGTGTTTATTTCATTTGTTTGTTAGGATCGGTTCCTTTATCCCAAATCACTTGAGAAATGGATATTGAAATCTATTGGGCATAAATGGAGGCCGGACTAGTGGACTACAAATGCTTCTTGAAAGGAAAGTGGTATGATGATGATAAAAATATTACTACAGTGCATGATAATTACCCTGAAGATGTGGAAAAGGATCAATGGATTAGCCTAGTCAATTTTTGGAGGTCAGATGAAGGAAAGGTATAGTTATTTGTATGATTCTCATTCTGCGTTTTGATTTTTTTTGTCAGAACTTTACTTTTTTATTTTTGGACTTAATGTTATTAATTCTGCATTTTTTACTTGGTTTAAGATTTGAAGTATAGGATCTGATAGATACCTAGGCTTATAAATATATCTGGCTATTAACACTTTTTTACTTTTTGTACATGACAAACATTTTTATGGTATGCTTTTGTAGAAGAGAAGCAAATCCAGTAAAGAGTCACATAAGAAAGCTAAGGTGAAGCCTATCTCTACGACTGGTACTAAAAGTCATGCTCGTGTTCGTGAAGAGATAGTATTAAGTCTCATTCAAAGGACGTTATGAGTTATTGTACATAACGGTATGTATCTTTATATCATTTCACATGAATTTTTTAAGTTTACTTTTGAACTCAATTGTTAAAGCTGCTTGCTAATGTTCTATTATTATGGTTTCTCAAGATCTGCTTTGTGGGTCTTTAGGCTAAAGTCATGTTTTATTTTAGGTTTTTTCCTAGTACTTGAGTCCAAACATAAGTATACAGATAGCAAAAAAGATTTTTGTGTCTAGTACTTATTGAGTACTATCAAATCACATATTAGGATCAGTAGTATATGGTGTCTGTATACTTATTGACTACCAGCCCTATCAAAAGTTTTGAATAATTAACGCTATATCTGATATTTTGATGATTCTGATTCAGATAATTCAGATGAATCAGATTCAGAAGAATATTTTCAGGTACTATTAAGTGTAACTTTTTCATCTTATAACTTTGATGCTAATTTTTGCAAATAAATAACATAAAAACGTTTGGTATAGGGTGGGCATGCTGCTTCTAACATACATTAAGTGACATTTGAGATTCTTCTATCAAAGCTTACACAATTGGTATTTTTTTATATGTTGTATGTTATTTGCACTCTGTTTTGGAAGCACTTTTATGTTCTCACTTTTTTTCATTGGACGTTATATCACATAATGCTTTGATGATCTGTTTCTGTCCTTTGTTGTGTAAAGTGCTGGTCTAATGTTACATTTATGTGTACTGGTTTGCAACATGTTATGTTATTTGCAACTTGTTCTGTTTCGGTTCATTGGACCTTATATCACTTCTATGTGTACTGCAATGATGATCTGTTTATGTCCTTTGTTGTGAAGTACTGGTTTAATGTTACTTTTATGTATACTGGTCTGCAACCTGTCTGTTATTTGCAATTTGTTCTGTTTCTGTTCATTGGACCTTATATCACTTTTATGTGGATTGGTGTAATGTTACTATTGGTAATTGTTGCTGCAATTACATATTTATATGTATTGATGAGCCTTTAGCCTAGTGCATGTTTTATAATATTCTATTTTACTAGTTTAGAAATTATTCATTAGTATTTTTTATTTTTTTTGCTGTTCTTGAAGTTTATATCTTTTATTTCATTACATTGCTCATTATTTTGTTTGTTTTATTTTTGCAGATCATGCTTTGGAAGTACAAGTTTGATTTTGGAAGTACAAATGGAGGGATTTAGAGTTGATTTGGGTTGATGGAATACAATACTCAGTATTAGATACTTTGATACAAGTTTAATTTTTGAATTAACCACTACAAGAACATTTTTTGTTATGATGGTATTGTGGCACTTTGATGTGGTGGAAGAGTTTGAATTATATTTTAAAAGTTTGTTTACAATTACGATCTTTAGTATTGTTTTAAGTTTTATATAACATATTATAAAAGTAACAGGAATTAATTACAAAAATGAATATGTGGATAGCTTCCAAGGCACTTTAGATATCTTGTGACGCTAATTATGTGCCTTAATAGATTGTTGAAAAGTGCCTCTCATTTAGCAACGCTTTTATAGTACTATACCGACGCTACAATTAGCATCGTAAGACAGCCTAGCGACACAAGCAAAGAGAGCACTTTTACAAGCGTCGGTAAAAGTACTTCCGACGCTTTTTAGCGCCTCTATAAGTACTAGTTGTATGACGCGCGATGCGCGAGAGAAAATGCCCAAAATTATCTAGATAAGGTTAATTTGTAACTTGTAGAACATGTGTGCCATTTTGATGTTTAAGTCCAATTTGCAGTTATTAAGAGGGAACTGCAATAATGAATGTGACTTATATGTAGTGCCACTAAGGCAAAAGCTATAATATTTTTGATTCAAAAATAGGCCGGTTAATATTCTTTTCTGATAAGCATATGTAATAAAAAAAATGCAATGGACGAATATATATTATGGTGTATTTGGGATGGAGTTGGGGCCTGGGGGCGGCGGCGGTGATGATCTAACATCTTCCGTTTATAATAATTCTATATTTATACAATAGACATATAACAATATACAAAGTGCCATATCAAATAATAGGAAGAACTTATGCTCTTATATTTATAATAACATACAAATAAAAAGAATAACAATAGTAATAAATATTAATAATGATAACCATAAAAATATTGATAATAGTAATATGATAATAATCACAATAATAATAATGATATTGATGATGATGATGTTGATGATGATGATAAAGTTAATAAGTCGTGGCCGGACTTTTCTGATCTAAATTTCTTTAATCTAACCTAATTTGAATGTTTACGATCTAATATGATTTAAGTAAAATAAAAATAAACAATAAGCAATAAAAATGAAATGAATAGAACAACTTCTAATAAAGAGATGCAACTAAATCTTTGAAGACATAAGAAATCGAAACCCCACGGTTGAGTTTTAGTTACAATAAAAATACTCATAATAATAATATTAATAATAATATAAAATAACAGTAATAATAATAATAATTATAATAATAGCAATAAAATTTACATTAAGTTTAATTATTATCTTCTACGTAACGCATAATGTATTGTATGTAGAGGAAAAATTTATAATGCAAAATTAAGTGAAAACATTGAATAAAAGTGCCAATATCAAAGAAATCTAAATTCATTTTTTTTTATCATAAGCAATCTAAATTCATAGAATAATTAAAATGCTAAGGCCACATAAAGAATGATGGGAACCAATCGTTTCAGTTATAACAGAGTTAGAGGAGCCATAAAGACTATGATGAATGGTACAATGACTAAAACAAATTGTACAAGTGTAGATTGCTTTAGTGTTACACCAACATTTTTATCATTCCTAAAATGCCCTAACCATCATTGGTGTTTATAAGTTTTTAGATAGATTAGATAATCGTATAAACATTTGCATATGTTTTTATTAAGGCTTCTATTGCAAAAATCATGCATATACATATATTTGAAGCATTATTTTTGGGATGAAATGTGAATATATAAAAATAACATAAATGAAAAGGTTATGTATAAAAGTGTCTGGTGCATGAAAATGGGAGTAAAAAATGAGGACAAATCTTATACAAGGGCTTAAAAGCATTGGTTTGAGGGATGGAGTGGGACGTGTCGACCAAGCCTAGTACTGTTTAGGCCCGGCCTAGGCCCAGTTGACCGGGATCGGCACTGACCCGGTATCCGAACCGGCGGATTTAGGAGGCGGGACACGGGCTTGCATTTTGGTGGGCCAACCTGATCCTAACAGTTACAAATTCAAAAACAAAATCCTTTAATGACACAAGCCCGACCTGACCCCGGGCCCGGATCGAAGTCCGACCGGGTAGCCCGGATCAGAACCAGTTGTGGTACAAACCAGGCCGGTACCGGGCATGAATTCCTTAGTCCTGAAGCCCGTCTGGGACTTGGCCCGGGTCCAACCCGGCCCGAGTCCATGGCTAATTGGTTTCAGTCTTAATACCACCTCATACATGTAGGGACATGACTATATGAGTGTCCAAATATGAAACATTCATGGCACGTGCTTTATGCTTTGAAGCATATTAGAATCACCTACGTGCCATAGGGAGTGTGTAAACCAACTGACATTATATGAGCTCTCACAAACCACTTAGTGGGAAAAAAAAATCACCCCATTCAACATAGATATAGCTTAGACAATCAATCCATTCATCCAAAAAGTCATACTACTCCGTACATATAAAGGAAAACAAAGCTACAAAGTGAAATCCTACATCAAGTGGCCCATTATAGAATTATTTAGTTCAAACTACATAGAACCAAAGAGTAAGATAAAAGAAAATAATTACAACATGATAAACAAGTTTTGAAAGATTGTAATCGACACACATTAAACCACATAATTTGGAGTTATTCGCAATCATATGTTGGCATTGGTGAAAGAAAGCACAAGCTAACCTTATTTGTCATATCGTAAGTGTGAAAGTCATCCTCCTCAAAATCAAAGAAAAAACATAGCAACATAACAAGCTTTGTAATTGGAGGAACTAAAACGCCTGATGAGTAAATGAAGACCATTTTGCAGACTAAATTTACCTAACCGAGTAGTGAAAGTGTCGTTGATCTAATAATAGTAAACTGCTCCGCAGCACAGTTCAATAACCACATGTTACTTCACTCACGCTTATAACTTTGTAGATCTAAGATTGAGAGTATTTGAAACCCAATTGAGTAGATCTAAAACATTGTTTAAACATAGGATCAGGCCATATAAATGACCTCAAATTGGGATGGTTTAATCCAATATCATCCTACATTTTGTCATAGCCTCACAGGTATGTTACTGGATCATTCATTGACGTGTTCATAATTCAAAACACACGGATTATTCATTATGAGGGACTGAGGAGAGATGGATTTCATGCCAAATCACAAATATCTACTTTCATAGATGATAGAATAGCAAAAGGGGCATCCAACTAAAACAAGTTTTTGTGTCTACAAATAAAATAGACCAATATAATTGACATAAAAACAATGAAATTAATAGTACATCAAATTTAAAGAGCATATATTTCAATGATCAGGACCCTATGCTTGTTTTGTTTCAGTAATTCCTAGTTTGTTTATGACTGGCGTAAAGGTACAGAAATGCTAAGATGTGATACTAATTCAATCCTTGTATAACAAGAAAGTCTCTTTAGAGGTGTAGAAATCTCAAATCCCACAAATCAATTAGAAAGATGATAAAACAAGCAAACAGAAACAAAGCAGAAACACAATCAAACCTTTGATTTGAGACCTGATTCAAAAGCAAGCTATGAGCCCTTTTAGTAAGGGAAGGACAGAGAATTTGGATGGCCAAGCATGGAGCAATCGTTGAGCGACATACAATTGCAAGAGGAGTGTACATTCACTAAAGGATCAATCACTATTCCATCTGTGTTCAAATTTATGTCCTGCAATAGATAAAGATAGCTAAATGTGCCTTGAAATTATTCTACTTGAAAGTAATTTCTTGTTAGTAAATTAGCACCTGTGGTTTTTCAAGAGAGTTTTCTATTTCCCAGAGTTACATAAAAGATGTTTGTTATAATATTGGCCGTGTTAAAAACAGGCCACTGAGTATTGACTAATTAGAGGGTTATTATGAAATTGGCTCTGTATTCTAAGCGGCTTGCCGGTTTCAGGGTCAGCCAACTCAAGCCGATTGAGGTCTTATAGCACAAGTATAACCCGGAGAATTTAAAATCCAATTTAAGAACACAAGTACATAATGAAGGTATAACTATCTATAGAAAGAACTCTAAAGTAGTGTTTTCAAATAGAAAACAAGGCACCTGCATAAGCCCCAAGACCTTCATAACTTTTGCCACTTTAATAAGTTAGTGTGCAACATAGCCCGTTAGCCACAGGTCCAAACATTTAAAATTACCAAAAGTGTGTCTTGTGGACATTTTTTCAAACACATGGCTATCAAACTAAACATGTGAAACATAACAAAATAGCAAACAGAATATAAGCCTAATATTTCATTGTTTAAGGAACATGTGAAAGGAAATCTTGTGACTGGCATTAGTGGCATATAAAAAATATTGTCAACATATACACAAACCTTTTTCACAAATGCTCCATAGAGCAATATTCTATCACACAGTAAAGAAATTTGAAGAAACACAATTACTAATCAAATTGTAAGGGCTACAAGCCTTACCTGTAGAACAGTGCTGAGCAGCAGAAAAGAACCTTTGTCGATAGATGAAACCACGTTGTCAAAAAGACACATAGGGAACAATTAAAGTTGCAAGAAACTCTCCAAATTCCAGCGTGTAAGCGAAGATGCTAAACAGGGTAATTAAGTGGGTGATCATTACTAACGGAGAGATAAATGACGTTTAATTGACAGAACGGAATGCTAGAGAAGCAGAGAAAGACGTACAATGATTTAATTGTAGAGTACATCAACATAAAGCTTGTATGTTCCACCAACAAATTTTTTATGCCTATAATAGCCCTACCCTCATTCATGCTTATTATTTTGTAAAGATATATAAAGTGCCGGGAGAACCCATTTCTCTACTAGTGTAGGGCCCAAAAAAGCTCTATGCCCAAACTTCTAGGTAACCTAATTTAGAAACATGTGCAGCGACTATAAATATGTGCATCTTGCACAGGTACCGAAGCAGTCGAATACATTCTCTAGCCATACGGTGTTTAAATACTTCTCGATATAATAGAAAGAAGATTTCTCTGTTCTCGATAATCTATATATCATTCTGTGAAATCTTTCTTGTGTGTTTATTGATGATATCCATCTAGCTGAATGTTAGTCTGCATAAACTGGGACCAACATCAACTTTTAATCAAGTTTAAAGTTTACAAGGTAATATTTTTTAGCTTTAACTAGTATTATACCCGTGCGATACACGGGAATATTAACACTCCGTATTATTGTTCTAGCAAACATAGAAAAT